GTTTCATTGCCATGGTTACAATTCCCTTCCCTTCATGCACCATCAACCAACCCCCCTCCCCTCCCGGTCTTCAGCCCACAGCCCCTCTCCCTCTCTGGGTCTAAAGCCCCCAGCTGCTCCATCTCTCCACGTCATTATCTCTGCCTCCATCTCTGGTGTCACTGCTTCTCTAGGTAGGGTCCTGCTCTCTGCTCTTCTCCCTTGATGGTCCCAGGGACCTCAGCTCCTAGACTGCAAAGTCAGTCACTCCCCTCCTTTTGCTACAAAATGTCTACCTTTATATTTCCAGTCTTCACAATCAGTCCTGATAACAATTATTCACTATTGTACCACAAGAGACCTATCCCCATCTCCTTTCATCAGCTTCGCCCAGACAGATTGGATACTACTCAGTTGAGATGCTACCTTCCTCCACTCCCTCTGGATCTAGGCTCCCTCTTGAAAGCTTGTAAGCCAGTCACTTCTTGCCTTTGTAGCCCCCACCCCCATTTTGGGAAGCTAATGTCTAAGTTGCCCATCCCTGTCTACTCTGTGTATCCAGGGGGGTGGGAATGGCCCTTGCTGTAAAGATTGTTCTGTCTAGGGCAATAGCTTTTGATAGGTTATTTTAATTTTGGTGGCTTCAGAAAGTCTGGATTTCATGAGAATTAAAAATGATCTCTACATCAGTTATACGAAAGACAATCATTATTAGAAAGGAAAGTGTAGGAAGGTTTGTTTGTCTTTTGCAGATATTTTCTTTAAAGAAACTAGAAAATGTAGGATTGCTCATATGAAAAATCAACTTCTACCTACAGTAAACTTCTCTGCTTCTCTTCTCAGGGTAAAGCTGGGAACAGGTATTTGGCCTCTGCCTATCTGGTAAGAGTGAGTGAGATCCTGAGTCAGGTAGGGATGTTAGAGCAAAGAACTCAGGAGGGAAATACAAACAGGAAAACTGATTATAGGGGCTGAAAAGGAGGTGACTATGTGGGGGAAAGAAAGAAATGTCTCATAGCTTCCTTGGGGTCTGTGTGTATTTGTGATTGACTTATACTTTTTTTTTTAAATGATTTTTTAGATACGTACTTGCCTATCCCTGAGTGAGACAGTAACAAAGAAAATGCAAGGTATGAGAGTTTCCTTTTGTATTCCTTTCTGACAAGTGTAGAATGTTAAATTTGCATTTGTGCTTAATTTGAATGATTAGAATAAGAAGGAACTAGGAATTCTATAAAGGAGATAGAAGATTGTAGAGAAAGATTGGTGGTGATGGTGGTAGTGGTGTGCCATGGAGTTGGTTCTGACTCATAGCAACGCTGCATAGGGTTTCTGAGGCTGTAAATCTTTACGGGAGCAGACGTCTCATCTTTCTCCCACTGAACGGCTGGTAGTTTCAAACTGCTGACCTTGATGTTAGCAGCACGACTTACAATCACTACTCTACCAGAGCTCCTAAAAGAAAAAGTAGATGAGTCATTTTACTTCTTTGGCCCTCAATTGTAAATAAGAAAAGAGTCCTAGTGTGGCACTGTGGAATAAAGCTCTGGGCCAAAAGGTCTGTTTGAACCACCAGGTCTGTTCAAACTCACCACCAGCTGCTTGGAAACCCTATACAGGGTCGCTATGAGTCAGAATCAACTTGACAGCACTTAACAAACACAACAGATTCAATGAGGTGTAAGACCTCCTATTTTCTAAATGTATCCTCTTGACATCCAGAAATGCTTTTATCAGGGTAGCATCTGTCTGCATTTGAAGGCAGAGGGCCTGTGTTTAATTGAAAGAAGTCCATTAAATAATATTTAAGGATTGAGTCTCAGTTTTCTAGCCCACTTGTTATGTTATCAGTTCCTGTAAGATATCCTTCAATAAGGTGGCATATCTGTGTTTGTTGCCAAGGAGTGGTGGAAATCTAAATAATTGCCTTGGGGATGCGCTGGAAAAAGCCAGAAGGCTGCCGCCAGAAGACATAGTTTGGTCTTTATAGGTTCATTTAAGACATTTCACAGCTCAGCCTAGAAACCACTGCTAGACTAAGATGTTGTTGTTGTTGTTATGTGCTGTCGAGTCGGTTCCGACCCATAGCGACCCTGTACAGGGTTTCCGAGGGTGTAAATCTTTACAGGAGTAGAATGCCTCATCTTTCTCCTGCGGAGCAGCTGGTAGTTTCGAACCGCTGACCTTAAGGTTCGCAGCCCGATTCGTAACCACTATGCTACCAGAGACTAAGATGTAGGTGATCTGAATACCGTTCTGGTGGTCATTACAGAAGTCTGTTTATTTGCTTGTTGATTTGGAAGGACTCTTACTTTTCTTTTGTCAGTTTTCCTTGTAGTTATATTTGAGAAAGATTGACCTGGCTTATAATAATCTGGAAATGACTAGGGAAACACTGCATTTCTATGGAGTGCTAGTATTACTAGAATCGAAATACTGGTGACTTTTGGATCTTGAACCAGAAAACACTGAATCTTAAGTAAGAAAAGTCTAGAGAGTCTATGAGTAAACTAATGGAAAACAAACTATATTTATTATAAAAACAAATATTGTAACCCAGGGAAAAATGAAACTGTTGTATTAGAAAATAACACTTTATATAATATTTTCAATCATTTTTAAAGGGAAAAAACTAGTTCCTTTAGGAACATCATGTAATAATATCTTAAATAATATGTTGCCATCAATGCCACTGAATATAGTCAGTGTTTCTATATCAAGTTAGATTTGGTTTCAGTGTGTGTATGACAGGGAAAGAGAGCACAGCTGTAACAATAACTCTTTGCTTAGAGGCTGTCTATACCTTTATTTTTATCAGATATATTATAGATACCAAGTTATAGGAATGCCAGCAAGGAGTAAAATTTTCTTTTTACAGTATCTGATCTCAGACTCCTAGAAACTTCTTTTTGTAGGAAAGAAGCATGGCACAGTAGGATAGGCACTGGACTACAAGGTCAGTTGAATCGCCAGGTCGGCAGTTCACACTCCCCAGCTGCTCCTCGGAAACCTTATACAGGGTCACTATGAGTGTGAACCAACTTGATGGCACTAACAATAAGTCGTATGACGCAATCTTAACTTGTAGTGAACTTTGGGGGGATAAGCAGCTAATTGGATGCTTCCTCTACATTCAGGAAACAAACTCAGAATTTCCCAGTGCAGATTAGATGAATTTATGCAGTCAAAACAGTAGTTTACTAATTAAAAAAATTTTAACATCATTTTGAGAGTTTTTCAAGAGCTCTTTTCTATTTGCATGATAAAAGGTAAAGGATGAACAGTGATGATTTGAAAAACAAAACAAAACCCACCTCTGTATGAACAAATGAACCTCCATGAAAGAAATGCAATAACACTGATGAATTTTTAATTTACTTTGACTAGTCCACATATTGGACTTAAATGGAAATTAAATGCTATTTTTTATTATTCCCCATTGTATTACAGC